AGGCAAGCCAAGCTGTCGCGCAGGCCACGAGTTCTGCTAAAAAGAAGAGCAAGTCCTCCGAACAGTCCTCTAGCAAAGCGAAGTCAACTAAGGCACCAGCGCGGACGCCGACGCAGCTAAATCCGGATCTTTGTACCAACCTGTCTTGTCCCGGGAAGCCCACCTGCTCGAAGATACACATAGCTGACATACTCGGTCCTGCATCACGTGATGACCACAGTCGGCAGAGGAGGCCGGAATCGCCTCGTCAACCGGCGCCCCCACCGCCAAAGCAGGTTTCGAAGGTGAAGAAGTCCGCGACACCTGCCGGTCTGTGTACGGATATCACCTGTCGGGGTGCAGGCGTCTGTCCGAAATTGCACATGACTGACTTTATGACTTAAATCGGCCAATAGAGGAAGGGGACTATCTCCCCCAGTATACCTCCTCCTCCATCATTATCATCAAAATTTTCCGACTTATATGCCAGATTGATTTGACCCCTATTTATACATGATATATCTGTACGTGAGCTGCTTATATCCTATTTGGCAAAAGTGTCTTGTAGGGCCGTTTACCTATCAATTTCCCCGGCCAACTGTTTAGCGTAATTCGTGGTAAAACATTTAATTCTTGAATGAATGCAGGTGTTTTACCGATCTAGTCAAGGAACAATTAAGTTCCGCAAATGAATGCAGGGGTTTCACCGATCTAGTCAAGGAACAATTAAGTTCCGCTTTGAAAGTGTTTCGCCGATCTAGTCAAGGAACAATTAAGTTCCGCTTTGCCAAAGCCCGCAACGCAAACCCTCAATAACCGTCACATAGTGACTAAGTTGATATGATAAAGAGTGTTTCGCCGATCTAGTCAAGGAACAATTAAGTTCCGCTTTGCCAAGGAAGTGTTTCGCCGATCTAGTCAAGGAACAATTAAGTTCCGCTTTGCCAAGGAGTTCGCAACACAAACCCTCAATGACCGCCACATAGTGACTTAGTTGATATGATGAAGAAGTGGATCCGACAAAGCAAAGGCAGCGTCTCTAACGCAATGACCGAAGGTCCCGGGTTCAAATCTCGGG